CTGATGGGAGGAATCAGGCGCGGGCTCGAGGAAGTCATAGTGGAGTACGGTTGACGTTTTGGGGGAAACGCGCAACACCGATCCCCGAAAAGCACGCTATCACTGTGAAGCGCGGTCCCCCGGGAGGGCCCCTTCTGTGCGAGCTGTCCCCCATGCCAGGGTCTCCTTGGTGCGTGCTGGTCCCGGCGGCGCCACACCGCACGCCCTCTTTCCACCGCCGACCGCAGACACACACACATTGGGCGCCCGAGTTATCCGGGGTAACTCGGGTCCGGGGTAACTCGGGTTTGGGTTCCCGAAAAACGAACCCGAGTTAACCCTGACCCGAGTTATCCCTGATGATTCGGGGCTCTGGACGCCCGAAATATCCGGGGTAACTCGGGTCCGGGGTAACTCGGGTTCGGATTCCCGAAAAACGAACCCGAGTTATCCCTGACCCGAGTTACCCCTGATGATCCGGGGCTCTGACACACACGCTTGGAGGTCCCGGTGGACCTCTTGGATCTTCGCTGGGGCCCCCTGGCGGCGCCTTCCGTGCTGCGCCAGGGAGGCGCAGCGGGAGGTTCCGGGCGGCGCGGCGTCGGCCCCGGCTTCTCGCACCGCGCGGGTGGCTCCGTCCTGCGGGGTCTCGGCTTGCCCGCGGCGCGGATCCTTCGACGTCGAGCGCGATCTGGATGGGAGACGGTGGTGGATCCTAATCTCGGGTTCCCCTGGGCTACAGGGAGTGGCCCCACCTACAGTAGCTAGAGGCGTGCTCTTATCACCACACGGCACATGTGCAGGTCTCTGCTTTCAAAGGGGGGAAAAAGAGCCACGATGGTGGCCACAGTGACGGGCCCCCCCCCATGAACTGGAACGGTGAAGCCCCCCCCCACCCCACCTGGGGAACCGAAAATAATGGTTAGCAGCCCAATAATTACTATTTGCTTTACTAGGCCACAGGGCAAGCCAACGCAGACTGTGCCAACGCTTGCACACTTTGCTCAACATCTGTACGCTTTCTCTTGTTGCACTACTCCTAAAGTCGCCGCCCTGTTTTACCATTAACTCGCACTGCACACGCTCTACCCTTTGACACGGCCTGCATGGATAAACTAACGGGGATGTGGGATGTGAATGTTATGGGACTGGGAGGGACACCAAGGTAACACCAGGCTTAGCTGCTGTCTTACTGCCTGGCGGGCGCAGGGTCTGAGGCACTCTACTTCTCTGTTCTGTTTGCCACTCTTTTCCCGCTGCGACTGCCAAGGTGATTTGCTTCTCGCTCTGCTAGGTCGGCGGTTTCTTCTGCATGAGAACGCGTCAAGCTACCGCTGCACGTCTGGGCAACGTCACAGGGAGGCGGAGCGGGCAAGCCGAAGGCAAGCTGCAGTCATCGCGCCCCCCCCCCAAAACACGACCAGCCCCAACTGGGGGAGCTGAGCTCCTTCCTATTAAGATCCCCACTGCCGCAGACTTATATTTAGCGACGGTGCCGCCACAAAATTCCCTGGATGCCTCACATTGAAGTTGGCGATCTTTCTTTTCGGGACGGCGCCTTTGGTGAACCACCAAGTGCCCTCAGTGCGCTGTCGAGATTTTGCTAGGGGCTGGCAGAAGCATCGCTGGCCAGCGAAAACCGACTCTTCGCGTTGGTTGACTTGGCGGTGGCGCTGTAGACACCCGCCCCGCCGATCTCACTGAGCGACATCTAGGAACATGAAAGAAACTCTTTGAAAAGGGGCCCCAGGACCCCCCCCCCCCCCCACACCACACACACACACACACACACACACACACACACACACACACACACACACACACACACACACACACACACACACACACACACACACACTGACACAAAGAACAACATTCTCTATCTTTTCCCATATTTCCTGGGTTTTTGTCTTCCCCGCCACTCCCCATATCTTCCCGTATCTTCTGGGGAATCGACGAGTCCTTGTGCCTGTGTGCTTTTTTTCCCCTCCTGCCATCGGCAAAAATCGACGACCCTCTTCGGGGCCCGCCGCCTCGACGAGGCCCGTGGACGAAGAACCCCTGCGCGGGCGGAGCTCGGCGCGGATCCCGAGAACCCCGCGCGGCGCTCCGAGCGTCTCTATCTCTGCAGCAGGCTGCGAAATTGTTGCCGTCTCCGGGGGTCTGGACCCTCCAAGACCCTGGACCCTCCAGATCTCGTAATAAAAAGGGAGGGGGTCTGGACCCTCCAAGACAAGCCAGTTCAGACCTCCCCCCCCCGTGGGAGAACCCTCCACAACATCGTCCCCAGACCCCCCCAGGCCCTCCAAGATAGCCTGGAAGAGACCCCCCCCCCGAAATGAGACCCCCCTCCCTTTATTAGGGGGAAAACAAACCTACCTCGCTTTTGACCACCCTCGCTTCCAAGAGATACCAAACGATGCCAAATTGAAGCCTGTACTGGTCAGGCCGCTTGACGAGGAGGCGCGTGGTATGACTTGGTTTTGTCTGGAAGCGAAAGCGGGGGAGGTAATTCACGCTCGGATTTATTACGAAATCTGGAGTAGTCGTTTGCCGTCTCTGGGCGCTCCGCCTCGCGGCCGAAGGGGGCCCCTGGGCAGGAAGCGCCATGCTCTTCGTGGGTTGTCGTGGTCGTTGCCGGTGTCGGTGCGTGTGGTGTCTCTTCTCGAGCGCGAAAGATACCCGTACCCTTACCCAGACGGGGTGGCAAGGGGCCCTCGGGGCATCACCCCCCCTGGGTCCGGGTCGGCCCCCGAAACCACCATACATACCCGTACCTAGACGGGGTGGCCCAACCACCACCCCAGCTAGGTCCGGGCATGTATGGTTGTTTCGGGCACCGACCCGTACCCAGACGAGGTGGCGGCAAGGCCGAAAACGCTCTAGCGGGCGGCCCTTTTCACCCCAGCTGACCCCGGGTCCGGGTATGTTTTGGGCTAGATCTCTTTCGTTGTCGGTCTTTTGCCCTCGCGGGCCTTCAGGACGGCCTTCTTGGTCGAGATGCGTCGTTCATTGAAATTTGAGGAGATATCATCAGCACAGTGATATTTTGAAAAACTGCCTCGGGAAACACTGTTGTGATTTTCTCCACTTCCACTCTCGATGGCCGACTCGAAAGGGATGCCGAGGTCGTTGCTCGCGCCGCCCCTGCCATCTCCCGCGAAAGGCTGGCGACGCGCACAGGAGAGTGGAGGGAAGGTTGGATTGCTTCTTAGAAGGCTGCTCCTTAGAAGGCGCCGGCCCTGCATCTACAGATGAGGCCCGCGCCTGAATTACAAGCAGCAGGACTGCTTCTAAGAAGCCCTCCCTCCTCCCTCTGCCTCGGGGGATCCCGAGGGATGCCGGCGCGCCCGCGGCTCAGGCTGCAGCAAATTATCCCAACGCCGACGCGCCAGCGGCGACGAGTGCGCAGGAACCCATCGCGCTAGGCGTCGGCGCGGGAGGGAACGGCCCCGCGCCAGGGGAACCTCCTCCCCTCCTTCCTTCCCTCCTCCTTCAGGGACCCCGCCCTGGCAGCAGAGGTGCTTCTGAGAGGCCCTCCCCTGAGATCCGACGTTGCAACCACAGCGTCGCCCAAAGTCACGACCGGCGCGCTGGACCCCATTTGCTGCACCATTTTCCGAGCCGGATCTAGGGGAACAAAAAGTGGCATAAACATAAAAACTCGGGGGTCCGCGCGGATTTCTCGGATCGGCGCTGGGGCCCCCCGGCGGCGCCTCCGGCGCCACCCCTGGCGCGCTCCGCGCGCCAAGGAGGGGGTCCAGCGCCGATCCGAGAAATCCGCGCGGACCCCCGAGTTTTTATGTTTATGCCACTTTTTGTTCCCCTGGGATCGATCTGCGAGGGCCCGGGGACCCGAAACTGGGCGACAAGGCCCAGAGTGAAGAGATGCAGCGCCCGGATCGGAGGGTCGCCCCGCCCTCCCTCCCCCCCTGCACGTGGCTGGCCACCCCCTCCTGCGCGTCGTTTCTCCGACCCCTATCCCCAGCGGCGTGGTGGCCTGGGCCCCACTGGGGCCGATGCACACCCCTGGATGGGGACGTTGGGCCGTCCCCTCCAGGCTTCGAAGGGTACATCCCCGCGTGGGGTGCTGAGGTGTCGGGGGTCTGGATGGAGATGGGGATGGGGATCGGTGAAGCGATTCTGACCCCCCCCCGCGAAAGGCCTCCAGGCAGCGGCACCCCTTCGCGCAGCCGCACCAGCCGCAGGGCGCAGCCGCCGCCCGCGCCGCCCGCGAGGCCTGCCGGCCGGTGGGCCGCGCGCCGCCCGGGGCACGCCCTGCCGCCTCGCCCGAGGGGCCCGGGAGGCGCAGACAAGTGTGCGCAGCTCCGAGGGGCCCTCCGCATGCCTTTATGTATGTCGTGATTATCATCACGCCCCCTCCGCTGCCCGTGTGCTCCCGAAGGCAATTCTACACTCCGCTGTGTCTGTACCGCCCAGGGCACGCCCTGCCGCCTCGCTCGAGGAGCCCAGGGGAGGCACAAACAAGTGTGCGCAGATCCCAGGGGCCCTCTGCATGTCTTTATGTGTTCGTGGTTCTCATCACGTCACCTCCGTTGCCCATCTGTTCTCGAATGAAAATCTACAGTCCCCTGTGTCTGTCTACTGGCCCAGCTCTGCCCACGACCCTGGCGGATCGAAGAGGAAGGTCTTCGGCCAGTTTCAGAAGCCCGGAACCCCAGGTTGTTGCCATCTCCTGGGGACGCATGCTCTACTTCCGCCGGCTTCCGCAGGCCTTCCGCCGGCTGCCGCTGGCGCGAAGGCGGCCTTGTCTTACGTCCGCGGGCTGCCGGCGCCCTTCCGCTGCCCTCCGCCGAGGACGAGATTACAACTCCCTCGACCCTCGAATGGCGAGGCCCTTTCCGGAGCGCCCCGTGTGTTCTGAAAGCTGCCGGCACTTCCTCGAACCTCTGGAGACCTCCAGGGGCCTCCAGGGGCCTCTTGGGGGGCAGGGTCTAAGGCGAAACCAAAACTACCATACCTCCCCCCTATAAACCCCCTCCCTCTGCGTCAGCACGAGCCCCTCCCTGCCGCAACACCAGGTGCTTCGCTTGATGCAGACAGGCTGGGCGGCTGGCCTGTGAAGTCCTTACCGTCTTCGATCTGAAGTTTTCAAGGTCCCGACAGCTGCGCAGGTGTAGGGCTGGTCGCTTCTGGGATCAGGCTTCAGTCTGATGGGCATGCTTTCCACCACCACCACCACCACCATAAGTTAGAGGGGGGAAGGAGGAGGAGGAGGAGGACGAGGAGGAGGAGGAGGACGAGGAGCAGGAGGAGGTGGAGGAGGAGGTGGAGGAGGTGGAGGACCCCCTCCCCCTCCAACTTATGGTGGTGGTGGAAAACAGGCCCATCATCAGCCTTCTGGCGCCGCGTACACTCGTCTTACATGCCAGCAGCTCCACGGAGGCAGGGCGCCCTGTTTTTTCCCAAACGGGCCTTCGCTCTGGCGCCGCGAGCGCAGGCCTTACAAAACCCAGCAGGTACACGGGTTGAGGTCGGAGCGGTTTTCGCACCGAGATTCCTGCTCTGGCACCGCGCAGCACGCGCGAACCCCAACGGGCGGGTCGGGTCGGGCGGGCGGACCCTAACGGGCGCATCAGGTCGGGCAGTTTCGCCGACGGCAGCTGGTTTCGCCGACGGCAGCTGGCTTCGCCGACGGGGCTGGTTTCGCTTGGCGGCGAAACCCGCCCGACGAAACCAGCCGGGCGAAACTAGCCGGGCGAAACTAGCCGTCGGCGAAACCAGCGGTCGGCGAAACCAGCGGTCGCCGGAGCTCCCGCATGGACTGCGGGCCCCGCGGGGCGCTCGTGCTCCCAGGGGCGCGTCGCTCGCGCAATGACGCAGAGTGCTGTATGCAGGGTCCAATGGGGAGTACACGTACATAGGACGGAATGGTGTTATTGCAACATGGTTCATACCCTTTGGGCGTACTGAGGTCGTCCCCATCCCTCCTGTGTTTGCTCCTCGTGCGCCCTCGTGCATGACATGGTTGGCTGTCCCTCAGCCCCCACGCCTCCCCCCCTGGGGTACAACGTCCATCTGAAAAGGTGTGCGGGCTGGTCACGCATCTTCCAGATCCTGCAGCCCCAGAGTGACCCACAGCGGCATCAAGCTACTATTTACGATAGCCCAAGGTTGGCCCCAACATGACGCTGCGATGGTCTCATATCCTGTCAGGGTTCCCCCGAAGGGTCCAACTCATTGAAGAACTACTCCTGTTTCAAGTGTACAACGGTTCACGGTGTTCTCGCCCTTGCTCCTGCATATTCGCCTCAATTCTTTCAGCTGATGTGCCTCGCCGTCAGATGCGTGCCCCGCCTCGAGCGGACAAATCCTGCCCTCCCCGCCCTCCACAGGGGCAACGGAATCACAAACATTTGTCACGGAATCGAACCCAAGGGACATTCTCCGCCACCGCACCGGAGAACGCTCTCCCAACTTAATGCGGCTCCCTTTGCCAGCCGAGGGGGTACGAGGGTACGAGGCGTGGCGCGCGCGTCCGAGGCCCGAACACGCGGCGGCTAAGCCAGCCGAGGGGGTGCAGATGAGCGGATGGAGGAGGAGGAGCACGAGAACGAGGACGAGGAGGGAGAGAACTGGGCAACGCCCTGCTGGTCACCGCCAGCTGACCACTGTGAGTCAGTCGACTCCCGTAAGCCAGCCAACTCCTGTGCACCAATGTCCAAAAACGGAACACCTGTCGTTTTCCAATTGTGACTCCCACCTCAGCGCCGCGCACATTCGTCCCAACACCTTGCCATCACTTCAAGGGAAGAGGGGGGGAGTTTCCAGCATGCATGTCTCGCCCACATGTCATGTTCAAAATGAAGCGAAGACCGGTTCGCGGCTGGAGCACACGTCATGTTCAACATGAAGCTACCGCCTCAACGCCGCGCGAATGCATTTCAAAAGTTTGCAGCGGCTTCAGGGCGCTCTTCCTTTGCAGAACCTAGCTCTCGCCTTCGCATCGCAGCATGCGCCCAAACCTCTTGAAACAGCTACCTGGGCGGGGTACGCGAAGTTTTGTAAACACGTGGCGCTCGCCTTGGCGACGCGCGGATACGCCTTACACTTTCGCAGCAGCTTTAAGAGTGGAGATGGGTGCTCGCTTTCGAAATGCGGGGTTCGCCCTATCACCGCTCATATGCATCTGGAAAGTTACCCGCAGGACTGGGCAGCATTTGTTTTCAAATTGTGGTTGTCGCCGCTGCGCACATTCCTCCAACGTTCAAGCGTGGAGCGCACGTCAATTCTCAAAATGAGGCTCCCCCACAAGCGTCGCCGCAATTCGTCTTAAAAGACTACAACCGCTTCACGGATGGAAGACGGCTCCTTTTTCAAAACGTGGCCATCGCCTCAGCCACGTGCACATTCGCCCTAAAAAGCTTGCAGCAACTGCAAGGATGGAGCACAACTCGTGTTCAACATGTGGTCCTCACCCGAGCGTCGCGCAAACTCGTCAAAAACAGTTGCAACGGCTTCATGGATTGAAGGGGGTCGTTTTCAAAAAGAAGCTCTTGCTTTAGCGTCGCGCACATTCGTTCTAACACTTCACAATGGGTTGAAGGATGGAAGGCGGTCTCCTTTCAAAGTGGTGCTCTCGCCGCGGCGCCGCGCCGCACGCACTCGCTTCAAACTCTGGCAACGGGTATAAGGATTGGCTCGGAGCTCTAGGGGCACACAAACAAGTGGCACGCGCGCCGTGGCCCTTGCACAAAAAGGAAGGGGGAGGAGGCGGAGGAAGCGCGCTGGCTGGTGAATGGAGTGATGGGGGGGGCGCTCGGGATGGGGGTGGCGGGGCGGAGAGGGCGCGTTGGCTGGTGGATGGGCGGGTGCGGAAGGGAGCGCTCGGGGTGGGGGGGCCGGTGCCGTGCCGAGATGAATGGGTCAAGGAGTAGGGGGCGGTGCCGCGCCAAAACAAAGGGGTCGGGGCGGAGGGGGCGCGCTGGCTGAAGGGTGGGGGGGGTGCGGAGGGGGCGCGCGCGGCGGGGGCGGAGGGCGCGGTGCCGCGCCAAACTAAAGGAGTCGTGTCGGAGGGGTGTGCCGTGCTGAAATAAAGGGGTCGGGGCGGAGGAGCGCGCTGGCTTGTGAATGTGTGGGTGGGGGGGGGCGTAATAAAGAGGTCGGGGCGGAGGGGCGCGCTGGCTGGTGGGCGGGGGGGATGCGGAGGGGCCGCGCGGGGAGGGAGTGGGGGCCGTGCCGAAATAAATGGGTCGCCGGGCGGAGGGGGCGCGCTGACTGGTAAGTAGGGGGGGGCGGGGGGGGGGGGCGTGCCGCTGTAAAGGTGTCGGGGCGGAGGGGCGCGCTGGCTGGTGGGTGGGGTGATGCAGTGTGTGTGTGTGTGTTGTGTGTGTGTGTGTGTGTGTGTGTGTGTGTGCGTGCCGTGCCGAAATCCGCCGATCCGGCGTGTGAGTTGAAGGGGGGGGTGGGCCGGGGTGGCTCTGCCGGGGAAGGGGGGGGGGGTCCACAGATTGGGTTCGGTTGGTCGGGGTTCGGTTGGCCCAAACCGGACCCAAACGGTGCCAAGAAGCCGCCAAGACGGGCCAAGACGTTTCTGGATCGCCCCAAAATCGATCCAAGACGCCGAACATGAACCCAAGACAGCCCAAGAGGCCGCCAAGGCGCCCCCAGAGGCCCCCAAGAGGTCTTCCAAAAGGGCCCCGACCGGCCAAAATCATCGAAGTCCCTTAGGAAAACCTACATCTTTAGCATGTTCGCCTCTTGGGCCTTCACAATGTCCAAAACGGCTCAAGGGGCCCTCAAAAAGGCTCCAAGACAGCCTAAGAAGGGCTTACGCAGGCCCAGGAGGCCCCCAAGACGGCGCAAGAGGGCTCCAGGACGGGCCGAAGAGGCGCCCAAAAGGGCTCCAAGACGGCCCAAGAAGGGCCCAAGACGGTCCAGGAGGCCCCCAGGAGGCCCCAAGACGCCCCCAAGAGGCCCCAAAAGGCCCCAACTGGCCCCCAAGGACCCCCCAGTGTCCAAAACGGCTCCAGGGGCCCTCAAAAAGGCTCCAAGACTGCCTAAGAAGGGCTTACGCAGGCCCAGGAGGCCCCCAAGACGGCCCAAGAGGGCTCATCATCATCAACATCATCGTCATCATCATCATCATCATCATCATCATCATCATCATCATCATCATCATCATCATCATCATCATCATCATCATCATCATCATCATCATCATCATCATCGTCATCGTCATCGTCATCGTCATCGTCATCGTCATCGTCATCGTCATCGTCATCGTCATCGTCATCGTCATCGTCATCGTCATCGTCATCGTCATCGTCATCGTCATCGTCATCGTCATCGTCATCGTCATCGTCATCGTCAATCGTCATCGTCATCGTCATCGTCATCGTCATCGTCATCGTCATCGTCATCGTCATCGTCGTCATCATCATCATCATCATCATCATCATCATCATCATCATCATCATCATCATCATCATCATCATCATCATCATCATCATCATCATCATCATCATCATCATCAACATCATCAGCATCATCATCATCACCATCATCCGAAGCGCCCCGGATCGGCGGCACTGGCCGGAGGCCATTTCAATAAAATGGGTCGGGGCGAAGGGGTGTGCCGTGCCGAAATAAAAAAGGGTCGGGGCGGAGAGGCGCGCTGGCTGGTGGGTGGGGGGATGCGGAGGGCCATGCCGAAATTATAGGGTCGGGGCGGAGGGGAGTGCCGTGCCGAAATAAAAGGGTCGGGGCGGGGGGGCGCGCTGGCTGGTGGTGGGGGTGATGCGGAGGGGGCGTGCCGTGCCGAAGTAAAAGGGGTCTGGGCGGAGGGGTGTGCCTTGCCGAATTTCAGGTGTCGGGGCGGAGGGCGCGCTGGCTGAAGGGGGGGGGGTTGCGGGGGGGGGGGGGGGCGAAATAAATGCGTCGGGGCGGATGGGGTGGGCCGTGCCGAAATAAGGGTGCCGAAGCGGAGGGAGCGCGTGGGGGGGGGGCGTGCCGAAAAAAAAAGTGTCCGGGCGTGGGGGCGCGCTGGCTGGTGGGTGGGGGATGCGGAGGGGGTGTGCCGTACCGAAAATGGTGTGTTTGTGTGTGTGTGTGTGTAACGTGCGGAAATAAAGAAGTCGGGGCAGGGAGGTGTGCCGTGCCGAAATAAAAGGGGTCGGGGCGGAGGGGCGCGCTGGCTGGTGGGTGGAGGGGAATGCGGAGGGCCGTGCCGCAATGAAGGGGTCGGGGCGGAGGGGTGCACCGTGTCGAAATAGAGGGGTCGGGACGGAGGGGGCGACGGACGGGGGCGCGCAGAGGGGGGGCGTGCCGAAATATAAATGGGTCACGGGGGCGGAGGGGCTGCGCTGGCTGGTGGGTGGGGCGGGATGCGGAGGAGGTGTGCCGTGCCGATTCAAAAGGAGTCGGGGCGGAGGGGCTGCGCTGGCTGGTGGGTGGTGGGGATGCGGAGGCGGAGGGCCGTGCAGAAATAAAAAGAGTCAGGGCGGAGGGGTGTGCTGTACCGGAATGAAAAAAGTCGGGGCGGAGGGGCGCGCTGGCTGAAAGGTGGGGGGGATGCGGAGGGGGGGGGGGCGCGTGCCGAAAAAAAGGGGTCGGGGCGGAGGGATGTGCCGTGCCGAAATAAAGGGGTCGGGGTGGAAGGGCGCGCTGGCTGGTGGGTGGGGGGGATACGGATGGGGTGTGGAGGGGTATGCCGTGCCGAAGTAAGAAAGGGTCGAGGCGGAGGGGGCGTGCGGGGGGGGGGGGGGGGGGCGTGCCGAAATAACGCTGTCGGGGCGGAGGGGGCGCGCTGGCTGGTGGGTGGGGCGGGATGCGGGGAGTGTGCCGTTGCGAAATGAAGCGGGTCGGGGCGGAGGGGCGCGCTGGCTGTTGGTGGGGGGATGCGGAGGCGGTGCCGTGCAGAAATAAAAGGATCGGGGCGGAAGGGCGCGCTGGCTGGTGGGTGGGGGGGATGCGGAGGCGGAGGGCTGTGCCGAAATAAAATGGGTCGGGGCGGAGGGGTGTGCCATGCCGAAATAAAAGGGGTCGGGCCGGAGGGGCGCGCTGGCTGGTGGGCGGGGGGGATGCGGAGGGTGTGTGGAGGGGGTGCGCCGTGCCGAAATAAAAGGGGTCGGGGCGGAGGGGTGTGTCGTGCCGACAGTAAAGGGGTCGGGGCGGAGGGGCGCGCTGGCTGGTGGAATGTGTGGGTGATGGGGGTGTGTGCCGTGCCGAAGTGAAATTGTCGGAGCTCTAGACACCCTGTGCAAGATAAGCAATACACACAAATAACTATATTTCCCATGTTTGCCCATATGTTCTGTGGTCTCGTCTCTTCCCCCCACTTACCATAGTTTCCCATATTTTCCTGGGAGTCGACGCTTCATTGTGTCTGTGTGCTTCGTTCCCTCCTGAAAAGGTATATTTTTCGAAGATGCTTCGTGCACTGATACATGGAAGCTTGTAGGGACTTGCGGGGGTGGGGCACTTGGGACAGCAGGGCGTATTCAGCATCGCCGACGCATCTTGGGTTTACGCTTGTCCTCCTCCTCCTCCTCCTCCTCCTCTTCCTCCTGCTAATCCTTATCCCTCTGCTCCTCTCCCTACCTAGTCGCGGCCCTCCTTAGGCCGCCCCTGGACTCTCGAACAATCCACGGGAAAAAATTAGCCGGAAGGAGACCAGCCCTAGAAGAAACGGACCCTGGAGCCCCCCACTCTCCAGGAGCAACCTTCATCCTGACCAGCTCTCTGACGGCAGCAGGGCTCGGGACCGCTCCGGTGCAAGCTGGAAACGAGGGAAAGACCTTCGTGACCCGCCCCAAACATTACCAGCCTCGAACGTATCCCTATCCCTAAGATTAACACGCCAAAAGGCGATGACAATCTTAGGGGTTCGCCCTCAACAAATAAGGGAATGCTTAAGATTGGCATCGTGATGAGGAGATGCCCAGCATAGGGATAGGGATATGTTACAGGCTGGTAAAAACAGCCCGCAGGGTAATTTCCCTATGTATGGAGCAGCACGACGCCGGGACCCCGCTCCCCGGGGTGGGCTTTCCGCGCCCGGAGCCGTGCTCTTCAGGGCCCCCGGGGCCCACAGCGCGGGCCCAGGAGGCCGAAAGCTACAGGCGAAACGCCCGCACTGACAACGCCAGGGCTCCCTTCCATGACCTTCCAGAGAGCTGTTTTTGCAGCACGGGAGGCCTAAAAACCTAAAAAAACGAAGCGAAGCAGCCTAAAACCGAGACATACAGAATAGCTCTGGGATAGGTCTTTCAGTCGCGTGCTATTCTTTAAGCCCTCCTGGAAGGTCAGGGGCCAGATCGTCGGAGAGATGGGCTCCCTTCGCGCCGAAGGCGGGCGAGAGGAGGAGGAGGAGGAGGAGGAGGAGAGAGGAGGAGGAGGAGGAGGAGGAGGAGGAGGAGGAGGAGGAGGAGGAGGAGGAGGAGGAGGAGGAGGAGGAGGAGCGGGCGCGAGGCACCCGCGGTGGCCTTCCGGCTGCGGGCGGCGGCCCGGCTCTGGCGCTCCGGCGCCTGCAGGGGGAGGCTGCACGGCTCCTCGGCGGCCTCGGGCTCGGGCTCAAGGGTTAGGTCGGGCTCGGACTCGGGCTCGGGCTCAAGGAGGAGGAGGAGGAGGAGGAGGGGGAGGAGGAGGAGGGGGAGGAGGAGGAGGAGGAGGAGGAGGAGGAGGAGGAGGAGGAGGGCGCTGACAAGGACGAGGACGAAGACGACGAGAAGTTGGAGTAGGAGGAGGGGCAGGGCACCGCCAGGACTCGGCGGCGCGCTCAAGGGTCAGGTCGGGCATGCCCCAGGCGGATTTTGAAGGAAAGCGAAACCAGACACGACATGCTCGAAAAGAGGTAAGATGGTCGAAGAATCACCGCAAGACTATTTTTTGACTATGTTCGAGCATTCGTCCTGTGGAGGGCCATGCCCGGAGGGGGGGAGGGCAGACCCCCTCGCGTCGCGAGGGAGCACGACGGGGTAGAACTCTGGGGCCAGCCCTCGCCAGGCCCCGGGACCGTGAACACACGACTCGGGGTAAAAAACGCGGGGCCTTCTGAATGACCCTCTGAGCCTCCACCGACGCCTCAGGAGGTGATTTGCTGCTGCTGCTGCCTCGACGCAGCAACGCTGTCCGTAGACGTTTGTCTCAAGCTTTTGCGCAACGTGCGCATGGCGCGGACAAGCGCGCGGCAGGGGATGCTCACCATGCGTCCCGACCCCCTTGCCGCAGAGTATGTCATGACAGTGCGCTTGCTCTGTGGCGGCGCCGCTCCGCACGTACCGAAAAATGCATCAATCCAGCATGAAGCGGGGCCCTCTCGGAGGTTCCTCCTCCTCCTCCTCCTCCTCCGACTCCTCCTCGCTCCACATTTCGAGGGCTTCTGGGACACCGCGTCCTTCCGAAAAAAGGCCTGTCCCCTCTCACGTCTCCCCGCGGCGCGCCGTCGAGGGATGGGCGGGATCGTGGCACGTGCGTACGGGCACGACCCCTTGGATTTGGGAGGACACCAACTTGAAGGGGCCCAAGGACACACAAATGAACAGATACAAATCCCAGGAGTCCCGATATGGTTAAATATCTTCTGTGTTTTCGTAGTCCCCACCACTTCCAATATTTTCCCATATTTTCCTGGGAATCGTCGGCTGGTTGTGTCTGTGTTTTTGTTAACACTCCTGGCAACTACCCATTCTTCTCCTCAGCACACTTTTGTAGAAGAACGAAAGAGGTCGGAGGGCGAGGGCATCGTGACCAACACGTTCATCGACCCAGTCTTGAGTCGGGCATGTCCCCCTACAGGCGGAGTATTCAAAAGTAGCAAAGAACTACGGGGACAATGTTTTTAGCATGCTTGGGCATGTTTTGATCATTGTTTGACTATCTATCTTTCATTTGTCGTCCAAAATCCGCCTGTAGGAAGACGCGCCCGACCTAAGCCCAGTCTCGAGCGGCACCTCCATGGCGATCTCCGCGCAGACAGCGGCTAAAACGCTGCGCTGGTGCAGAAGAAGGGCCCCCCCTGGGCCAGCAGCGGCCCCCCCCCCTCCCGTACGCCTCGGCAGCAGTACCCTGGCCAAGAGCGAGGAGCTTGGGACGACGCTGGAGGCCGCATCATAGCAGGAGCTGTGCGAGATAGCACGGTTAGGTCGGGCATGCCCCCCTGCAGACGCACGTTGGAAACAGCTCAAAAATAGCAGCAACAACAACAACAACAACAACAACAATCATTTTACCCGAACGCTCAGTGTTCTCACCAGTGCCAGGGTTTTCATGCGACGCGAGACAATACCCCCACTTCGTGGGGGGGCAGTTCAAGCTCTACCAAATATCCAAACGACTCTTCGCGACCACCCAAACCCAGCTTCCCGCCCTATGACGTTGGGACACTTCACTTCGTGGCGTGCGGACGACCGTGGCTACTACACTGGCGTGGGGTACACACCCACAGAACTTGGTCACTTATTCGGGGCGCGCGTGTGCCCAGCATCCTGCAATTGTGACATACAATACATGACACAGACAGACAGAGAGAGAGACAGAGAGCAGACAGAGAGAGAGACAGAGAGAGCGGAGTTGGTCACATTTTTGGGGCAAGTTCCTGAGATCGTCGTGTTTTTTGTTGGTCTTGCGCGCGCGAATGTCCACTTTACTTTTTTTTGCAAGGGATGTTGAAATTTGATTATGTAAGAACAAGAAAAAGTAGCTCGCGCGAGCTTATGTAACATAAATGTTGAAAAACCATTGGTTTTGTGGGAGTCGGACAGCGCGCGCGGGATGAAATTTGGACATTTTTTTTTGAAAAACCATTGGCTTTTTGATGTTTTTATGTTGAAATCGTTACGAAACCTAAGGTTCTGGAAGGATTTCGTCTTGCGCGCGCGAATGTCCACTTTACCTTATTTTTTGCAAGGGATTATTGAAATTTGATTATGTTAGAACAAGAAAAAGTAGCTCGCGCGAGCTCATGTAACATAAATGTTGAAAAACCATTGGTTTTGTGGGATTCGGACAGCGCGCGCGGAAGGACATTTTGACAATTTTTTCTTAAAAAACCATTGGGTTTTTGATGTTTTTATGTTAAAATCGTTACGAAACCTAAGGTTTTGGAAGGATTTCGTCTTGCGCGCACGAATGTCCACTTTACCTTATTTTTTGCAAGGGATTCTTGCAATTTGATCAAGTAAGAACAAGAATTTTCATTTTATAGTGTTTTTTGCAAGGGAAAACGGAGTACAACAAAACAACCGGATCCGGACACAATCGTTTTGCCTGAGACTTCCTCACGAAAATGATGAAAATGTGGCTGCGGCCTAGGCGCGGCGGGGGGGTCGTGCACCAGGGGTCCCAACAATAATTATTCTTAAGAAGAAATAATGTTCAACAAGCCTCTGCTTGCCGGAGGGCCGCGCGGAGCTTCGAGGACCGCCCTGGTCTCTGGGCTCGCCCAAATGCAGTTCGAGAGAAAATGTGTCAAAGCACCGGCCACAGTCATGGATCGGGGATGGACAGACCTCCCTTTAGTAAAACGTGGTTTAGTGAAAACGACTTCGGGCCCAAACCTGGCGGGCGCAAGCCTGGAAAATAACGGCCACGGCGCCCTCTCGAAAACCGAAAACGGACAATTCACTAATCGACGTGTCACTGTTGGGGGTTCTGTCCACCCCCGAATGGAGGGAGAGAGTCGGGAAGCGAAACAAGGCATAAGGTAAACTGTCGACGGTCCGCGCGGATTTGTCGGTCGGCGCTGAGGCGCCGCCACTCGCGCGCTCCGCGCACCAGGGACGGGGGTCCATCGCTGATCCGAGAAATCCGCGCGGACCTCCAACAGAGCATGTTCATCTCTTGCTTTGCTCCCAGAGATAATTAGAGAGAGAGAGAGAGAGAGAGAGAAAGAAAGAGAGATGCATAAGCTCGAAACCCCGGACCAAGTGAGACTGAATAGCTCTGCCTCCCTAGTCCGGCGCGGCACGGTCCCAGGCAGCACACAGTGGAGCCAGCTTGTATGGCCTGTTCATAGTCTACGTCTTCTGCCACCAGAGGAGGCCAAGACTGAATAGGTACACTCCTGGCTGCCACGACCATTCGCCTCCCGTGGAGGGGCCATCACCAGCGCCGGTATCAGCGGCATGTCGGCCCCAGGCCCGTCCAGCGGTATGCATAGGGCTTCCGAGGAAAAACTCTCGCACGCCGATCGGGCTGGCATCCTTTTCCATAACATCCAGTTCGCCTGTTCTAATTTTCATTGCTCGCGCAACTGTCAGTGAGGAGGTACAAATCGATTCGGCGCGTTGATGATGCTGCTGCTGATGATGCTGATATTGAGGAACGTATATATACACACACACACCTTACATTTATGTATGTATGTATGCATGTATGTTTGTATGTATGTATATATATATGTGTGTATATGTATCCATTCACATAAATTCGAAAGAAACCTTAGTGGCCCTAGCCCCCCCGGCCCACCCGAGAGCCCCCAAACGGCCCCAAACGTGTCTAAAACACTTCTTAGTGGCCCCGGGCCCCCAGAGAGCCTCCAAACGGCCCCAGAACACTTCAGACGAGCCTGCCCGCGGCCACCCGAGGTCCCGGGCCTGCCCACGACGGACGTCGCACGGCCCAAGATGCCTCCCAAAGTGGGCCCCATCCCAGGACGGCCCAAGAGGGGCCCAAGACGGCCCAAGAGGACCCCAAGCGGGGCCAAAGACAGCCCACCATGGCCCCAAGAGACCCCAAGACGGCAAAAGAGGCGCCCAAGGCGGCCCCGAGTGTCCAAGAGACCCCCTACACGGACCAAGAGTGCCCCGAGAGGCCCCCAAAGGGGCCCCAAAAAGCTCCCCAGCGGCTCCCCGACGGCCCGCCTCGCTGGATTCGGCGCTTTCGGTGGGAGAACATCTCCAGAACAAGCTTCACAGGATCTGCTGCAGTTGGTGAAAGCGTCGTACCACCCAGCGCGCGCCGCAAAACTTCGATCCGCTCAGCTCCGTGGATTTCATCCACGGGTACACACTAGTGTATCTATATATATATATATATATATATGTATATGTGCATACACATATATATATATATATGTGCATATTTTATATATATATGTATATATATATATATATATATATATATTCCTTCTACCTATCAAATTACAAGGAAAAACCCGGCATGTCACCGACACCCCCCCCCACATGGACCCCAGATGAACCCCACAGGCTCCCAAGAGAGCCCCACAATGCTTCGAGACGGCCCAAAATACCCCGAAGAGAGCGACACGAGGCCTACATCGGGAGCCCAAGACAGCAGAAGGCACTTCCGAGACGTCCTCTGCAAGGCCCAAGAGGCCCCAAGACGGCCCCATAGTGCTCCAACAGGACCAAACATGGGCTCAAGACTGTCCAGGATGCCCCCGCAAAGACCTCCAACACGGCCTCAGCAGGCCAAAAACCTTAATTTTCCATTTATTTTTGAACGATTCTGTGCTTCTCGCCTTTTCTGGCCACGAACGGCCCAATAATGATCTGCGAGCTTCCGAGGTCGCCCCGAAATGGCTTCCAGGCGGCCCAAT